TACCAGTCATATGTTGGTTAACAAGACTTCGTGTGCGTCCAGTATGCTTCTCAAGCTTGGCTGAGCCGATCTTTACTCCCAATTCGCGTATTCTTAGCAGTGATGTGGGCACGTTGCTTCCAAAATCCTCAGAACGTCCTATCTCTCTAAGGGCAATGACAATGTCTGCATGATCCATGGGCCGGCCATCTTCAATTAATGCAGTGCCTTCCAGTCTATCAGCTCTCTCATTACCAACAACGCCTGCATGCCCTGTTTTCCCTACTAGTTATGTGTTTATAGGTTTCTGTTGACATTATGTGTTTGGATATTACGCCTGTGTGTCAGCTTTGGTACCGGCAGGTGGTAGGTAGGTGGTTTACTGGAAAGAAAAATATTGTCACGTCAACCAGTATCCCGAAGGGGGATCTTTTGGTTATAATTGTGACTTGAGTTATGTGCACCATATAAAATGGCTCAACATTGCTCCCTACCAAGTATTATTGAAAAGGACTCGTGCGGTGTTGAAGCAGTTAAAGGAGACAGACCCAAATACTGCCCTATCTGGCGACGAAGTTGTCTATCGGTGAACCAGTGGGCGACCTGGTGGCCGATCATGTTAACTTTGGTACCGGCTGCAACTGCATCGTATGTAGACATGATGGTTATGATTGCAATTATCCACACAACTTTTTAACAGATATTTTAGGGGTAAAAAAAAAGAATTTTTTGAACAATTGTGAGACCACTGTGACATCATATAATTTCATTGTTGCATCACATTGCTATCTGACAAAGTGACCAAAACCACTTCCAAATGGTCAAAATGACGGAAGTCAGCTAATTCTTTGCTACATTTGTATTAGGTAATTACTTCCCTTTCAATTTAAAAAAAAACTTTTCCTGATTTATACATTAACTGACTGGGGATATTTTTATATTTATTAAAGTGACATGATATCATCAAAGAAGCAGGGGATATTACCCCTGTCTGTCTACTTGGTGGTCTATGGATTCGAACCCTTGGATATTTATAGAACTTATCAAGACTTTTCTGTTTCTTCTTCTCGAATTTCAGAGAACTATAATAATTTTTCTTAAAACTAATTAAAAGAAAAAATCATTTTTTTCAATTTTTACGTGACGAAAGGGGTAATGTTAGGTTTGAATTTGCTGATTGTTAAACTGGGGATGTAATCACTGTTATTTTGATTGACTGGTTGATTGATTGATTGGGCACAGCCTTTAAATCAAATACAGGATAACCAAATATTCAGACTGGTTGATTGATTGATTGGGCACAGCCTTTAAATCAAATACAGGATAACCAAATATTCAGACTGGTTGATTGATTAAAATCAAATAGAGGATAATCAAATATTCACTGAAGTGAGAAACAAAGGGATTGAGGAAGGATGGATGTCCCAGGGAAACCCTAAATCGAACACTGATGAGAGAGGCCAAAGGTGCTGGGCTGGTTTCCATCCAAGATAACGAAAGGAATTGGCATAACGGAATGGCGAAATAACATGCAAGCCTTCGTGCATTTAATGGCACAACAGGATTATGACGTTGATGTTATATATATATATATATATCATCATCATGTGCCCTGCCACCTGGCGTAGGCACTCATGCGTCTCTACAGATCACTATCCCTGGTTGACTGGAACAGCTCAAAAGATGATATCCCTCCATGCCATTGTTTCAGCCAATCCAGCATCATCTCTCGTGGTCTGCCTCTACCCCTTTTTTTCACCAATCTTTCCAGTTGTCATGATGTTCTCCAATGTCTTTCTTCTCATTATGTGGCCAAAGAACAGTGTTTGTCTCTTTCTTATTGTTGTATATAGAGATCTACTTTCATTAGCTTCTTTCAAGCAATTTTTGTTAGTTACTCTGGATGTCCAAGGTATTTGTAACATTCGTCTCAGAAACCACATCTCTGTTGCTGCAAATTCAAATTCTTCCTACATTCCAAGTTCGCTGCTTTTCTATAACTCAGTCACACATTTTCCATCGATTATGATATTTTTCATTCTCTGATTGTTCCCAGACCTATTTGCTTTTATCTCTGTCACACATGATATGATATATTTGAAAAAAATAATAAGAAAGAAGAGAAATAATCTTTTTTTTTTTCCTTTTTTTTTTCATCTGAGTGATGTAATTGTGTTGTGCCTGTTTACAGCATAGCTCTGATATTTGTGTCTTTTGGTTCACATCCAAATTTATGGGGCATTTGTTCACTGAGTTAGCCTTTCTGGCTGGATTCATGGGACCTGACATAGTCTTATTTGTATGGTATACCTTTTGTCCCTTTGCATGCGAGTGTTGCTTAGCCTCATTAGTATGGTACACTCTTTGTCCCTTTGTTTGCGAGGTTTGCCCCTTGAGATCCCATTCAGGTAACCACATGACCATTTATCCCCATCCAAAGAGGTTTGCATAAATGCAGAGCCGACTTATGACGCTTGAGTCCTACACATGACTGCTTAACCTCACATTCATGTTCTGAGCTTATCATAAGTTGTACCCTTTGGAGACCACATGGAGCACAATCTTCTTCAGCATGTGAGACACTTTTAACATTGTTGCATCTGGACACAGCATGACAATATCGGAAAAACATGTGTCAGACATGGCTTTTCCTGTCTGGTCCCAAAACTCCAAGGAGTGGTGCCAGTGGTAGCAAACATTCGAACTTGTGGTAGCAGCCCACAGGTCTAGGACTTTGATGACCATGCAAACGGGCCCAGTCTCCTTCAGCACGTTAGACATCTTTAACATTGATGCAATGGCGTGACAGTATTAGACAAGCATGCATCAGGCATGGCTTCCCAGTTAGGTCCCGACACTGTGACGAGTGCGGCCAGTGGTCGCGGACATTTTAACCTTGTCTGTCACACAGCGGGACTTTTGATTTTAGGAATTCTGAACCTTGCCTCTCACACAGAAAAACATTTTATGGTTGAACATCTAAAGCTTTGCTGTTATGTAGTAAGACAGAACCATGGGATACCGCCCACAGATGTTGTTTGTCTAAACTGCGAACAGATGATCTCATCTTGGGCTGACTCAGAAGTTTGCAGTAAGATGGCTGCTTGGCTGATTAAGACCCCTGGATGGTGGACATTTGACAGACTTTTGAACCGAGGTTTGTCATAGAGTTGAATATTCAGCAGGCTTTGCTTATGTTCTAAATGAGTTTTGTATCACCCATACATTGAGGATGAGCTGATAAGAGCCAGAGGATTTCTGGGCACTGCATCTCTGAGGGCCATCAACTCTGAGATCACCTGACAGCACTGGTTATGCTGGTATAAGCCGTTATCCATGGTTGCACGATGGGAACATGTGGCAGGTGTCTTGCATGAGGGTCCATAAAACTAGCACAGAGCAAGCTAGCACCCAGTGTGAGGTACGGAGTATCTCCTTATACCCATCACAACAGCCTTGCATTCCACTCATGCCTCTGACCGAAATCACCTCACCACAAAGAGAGAGATTGAATCATAGAGGTGGTGGGGGGGGGGGGGGGGGGTTGGAGAGGCATGATCTCCTGTACAAGTTGTAGTACATTTAATGGTATTTATGTGTGTGAGAGTGAGAGAGAAAGCATATTTGTGCATGCACATACATCTAGTATTGCAGAATTACACTGTGCACAGTCAACAGACTTATTTTGGGGAGTGGGGGCAACATTATGACCATATACTCAGTAGTACATGTTGTCTCCGCTGAAAATATTTGTGGAAAGAGGTAGCAGATGACAGTATTCTTCTTCTTCTTTGATCCTTCTTTCAGAAAACGTATATCAGGAGCCCGGTAGGCGTGAGGAAAGCTATTGTGCAGTTCAAATCTTCCCGTGTACCATACAGCTTTGACTTCATTGAGGTTGGAACAGACTAGATGGCCTCTCCGTTAGCAGCATATAGTTTATTTACAGTGTTGGAGAACATGCTCGGCATTTTCAGGTGCTAAGATGCAGGAACACATCCCCAAATTTCCTGAGCTAGAACATGCGAACATATGTTGGCGGTCTATTGCGTCTTGTCCTTAGGCTGAATATGAGACATTGTCCCTCTCTAGAGATGCAGTGAAACGCGTCTTGAGAAGAAAAATTGGTGATGACAGCAAGACAAGATTCTTTATATCCTTGTTACAGAGAGCATAGAGAGTTGTTGGCATATGAATTAATATTGAATCCTTGTGTGGGTTCCGGGTCCCCATTGTGGGGAACAACAAGTATAGACTCACTGCAGTCTTAACAAGCAAGTCATAAGAGCCGACTAATTAGGGATTTTCTTTTGAAGTCGGAATGTATCTGCCTGAGAGGCCAGAAATCAACAGCCTGCATACAAATAAGCCAGATCTGTAAAAAGGACGTGTACGCAGCTCTCAAGTTCTGGAACAAGACTGAAGTCCAGAAGTGGACGAACACCCAGAGCTTTTCGCCGGAGTTTACAGTCGGTGAACGCAAAGAAGAAGAGGAAGCCTTACAGCACGCCAGCTCACTCCCCTACATGTATTGTGTGAGTGCGTGTGGTGTGTGTGTGCGTGTCTCCCCCTTTCCCTCCGCTTGTCTGGGGTGTTCCCTGGTATATGACAAATGTAGCTTTCGCCTCACAACACGCGAACTCACTCCCCTACATGCACTGTGTGTGTCCCCTCCGTATACGACAAAGAGCCAGGAACGCCCTATGAGGGTGACTCACACACACATATGCCCATATTTGGCCCTGGACCCGGCTTTGTCCTCACATGACCAGGGGAACCTACTCCCGTCATCTCGCTCACCGTCTGCTGCTCCCTGTGTCCATCACAATTGGCAGTGAGTGGACCTCCAGTTTACCTCCGCCTTTGTGTTCGTTTTCCAGGAATCTAATAACTTTCACTACTACACTTTGGATAATTCTTTATTTGTGCTAAATTTGAAAGTACTTTGTAACAAAATAAAGCCACGATTTGTTGTATTTTTCCTCGTTTGAAGACTTTGTTGTCACAGTTAAAGGAAGAAAATGGCGTCAGGAGTCAAAGTTTCCGATGATACTGTGGAGACATACAAAGCCATGAAGCTGCGAAAGCTGAATGTTAGGTATTTGATGCTGGCTATTGATCAAGCAGATGGGTTGATTAAAGTTGTGAATATCAAGGAGAAGAACACTAATTTGTCTCAAGAGGAGGAGTTTAATGAATTTTTACAGGAGTTGCCATCAGATGTTGGACGGTACTGTATCGTTGATTTGACTATACCTCAGAAAAATGGAGCGTTAAAAGACACAATGTTTATTATTACGTGGTAAGACTTGTTTAATAATTTATATTAGTCTTTATTTAGAACCACAAATGAATAAAGTAAACATGAATATCAATCATCCATCACCTAGAATCACCACAAATAAACATAGTTAAACAAATGAGATCTGTAAAACGGATGTACATGCTCATGCAACACTTAGGCTCTGGAAAAAGACTGCAGTTCAGAAGTGGATGAACAACCAGAACTTTCCGCCGGAGTTTACAGCTGGTGAACGTGAAAAAGAAGAAGACTCCTTGATTATGAAAGTACCCGAGGCAAGAGACAGTTTCTTTCAGGCAGACTATGAGAGCGACGTTCTGCAAATGACCTGCTACATGATGATGCTGATATTGCTGAAGTCTGTTGTGCACTGTCTTTAGCTATTTTAGGACGGCATTTTTTCTGGGGTTTGGACATAATTAATTTTAAGCGGAATTTCTTTAGTGCAACACAACAAAGCTAAAACCTTCCTGAAGAAAAAGTATGGGCTGTATCAGGACTTTTAATATATTAAAGATAAATGAGTGCAAAATAAATCTAAACTACTTAAATGTCAGTATAACATCAAAATATTAAATTCACACAACATTCAAGGATGTTAGACACATATGACAATTTTTGACATAAACAATTGTGTGCTAACCTTATTTTTTACTGGTTCAACAACACTGCTATCCAATTCTAAGAATACACATGCCTTCTCTGTTCAATTATGTATTAGCTAGTCTTTATTTGAAACAATGGACATGTCCGGAGTGCAATGAGGATAACCCAACTAACTAACTAACTAACTAACTATTTGAAACAATTAATTTAAATACTTTGGATATTATAATCATTTTTGTATGACATGTCAATTTTCACAACAACCGAAAATCAGAAAAACAGCTGATCGAAACATTAATCTAATAGAAATATTTTGTGAAATTTTCATATCCCAAACTAAATTATTACTAATAGATTTGTCCCTTAGATAACAGTAATAATATCAAGACTGTTGTCACCATCTGGCAGGGATTCATCAACGATAGAGCAGTATGGACAGTTCTATACCTTTTTCCTTATCATTTAGTATAGAAAAATCACGTAAAAATTTTATCCCATCTAAATAATTTTTTTTAAAATCACAAAATAATGCACCGAACACGATGAACATCGCAAATGAAAGTACATCCTGTTGTTAATCCTAATTATTAAAAAACTTGTTCATAAACATTCGTTTTACCCTACAAACGGAACAAAATTAGAGTGTCTCTATCATGAGCCAGTAAACTGGCTTTACGTCTTTAAGGGATAGACTTAATCGCCAGTATACTGGCTAAACGTCCGTAAAGAGTTAGTTTGAATACAAAACATTGTCACTTTTTAGATAGACTTCTTTGTCCACTGATAAACTGCGGGACACTGGTTTAGTTATCCGCTGATTCTTTTCTGTTGTTAAACATAGTATCTTTATCCCAGCTTTATGTTATCAGTGCCCAACATGGACAAAGAATAGGGCATTAGGAAAGAAAATAGCTACATATGAAATGTGCAGTCTCTACAAGGGCACTAACAACAGGATACGAGACAGGGTTATGAATACCAGCATTCAAGAGAATGTTGGAATAAGACCATGTCTGGATTATATTGACAGACACATAATGAATTGATTGTAACTGACTCAGAAAACATGTTGAGAAAGGTGAAAACAGGCATGCTTCGTGCAGAGTGGCAGGCATCACTTCAGAGGACCCACGTAGTTAGTATCCTTTGGATATTTTCTCCAGGCATGCCGATGTGTTGGGAAATGATCAAGCAGATGGACTTGCTGGCTCTGCAGCACTTTGTGGGGAACTGATGTATGACAAGTTAGATATTGTGAGGGCCCTTTGGGAACGGGTGAGCAATACGGAGGTGCAGATAGATCATTACGGTCTGAAGAGAATGGCACTGCAAGGAGTTACCAGGGGGATCTGGCCGACGCTCAACACGCAGGGGAAGGATGAGACGGATAAACAGTCAGATGGTTACTGGTACCATTAGAATTGGAACTCTTCTCTTGCTGCTAAAGATGGGGACTGAGCACTTATGGGATGTCCTGAGTGCTGTGATGTCGATTATAATTCAACATTCAACAAAGAATGCAATAGTTCGGCTATCTAGTGAGAATGCAGCCAGACCAGACTGCATATAAGACTTCTTACAGTAGAACATCTGGGAGGAAGGCAAGAGGAAGACCAAGAAAGAGATGGATAAATGGTGTAGATGAAACCTGCAAAAAAATTTTAACAAATCCTTAATTCAAGCCACCTGAGAAGCGCAAGACAATAAAAAAACACACCATGACACTGAGTTACAACCTGATGGTGACAGTGAGACGACAAAAGAAGAAGAAACATTGCTGAAATTTATCTTTTGTGCCGCATATGTATTTCATCTCTTTGTAACTCAAAAAATTAAAGAGGCTGGCAATTTGAAAATAAAGTTAGAAGACTGGAGGCAGTAAGGTTGCCAGATCTAGTACAGATAAATACTCTAAACTGAAACACACATTGATCACTTTTGTGTTTCAGTTGAAAGGATTCATACATTTGCTTTATTTTAATCAGTTGTAACTGTAGTAAGCCGCCTCATGAGATACAGCGAAATATGCCAGGCAATGAATTATGCAGTCTTTTTGTTTTTGTCTTCTTTGTTCAAATTATGCTAATGATACTACTGCTGGTAGCCATCGTGGTGTAGCAGCTAGACGCTCGCCTGCGGATCACAGGGTCATGGATTCAGATCCGAATAGAGCTGGTCTCTTTAAAAAATGACCTTGGCTTCCACATCGACCCAGACTTAAATAGATACAGCCCTGGAAAGACAACTGGTCTATAAATTATAGGTCTAGCCCTATATGCCCAGTTTGCCTTCAGGAGTGGAAAAGGGTACTTTACTTTTACTAATGATGTGCTACTACCTGCTTTCATCCATAATAATGAAACCTGCTTCACTCATTCATTCTTCCGTCTGTTTTGTTTCACAAGGTGTCCCACTGGTGCCCCAACAAAGTCCCACATGCTATATGCAACCTCAAAGAAAGCTCTCATGGACAAAATCCGTGAAGGGATGAAAGACATTCAAGCGTGGATGAACAGTCCTACAAAGTTCAAAATTTTTAAAGTTGAAAAAGCAGTACTAAACTCATGGGTATACTACTTCCAGAGGGGCCAAATACACAACCCTTGCAGGAAACAAATGTATAATATCAGAGTTTTTCAAAGTTCCTCAGTAAAGATAAGATGTAAAAACATTCATAACATGTTGATTGGTGAGTCCCTGTGTTGGTTCTAGGGGCCCTATTTTAGGGAAAACAAAAATAGACCCACTGCCTACCCAGAAGCCTGTTGTAAGAGTCGACTAATTGGGAGCTTCCTTCGAAGTCGGGGTGCATCTGCATTAGAGGCAAGGAACCAGCAGTCTGCATACAGATGAGTCAGATTTGTCAAAGGATGCACACACAAAACCTGGTTCTGGAACAGGACTGCAGTCCAGAAGTGGATAAACAGCCAGAACTTTCCGCCAGAGTGTACAGCTGGTGAACGTGAAGGAGTGGGGAACCCAGACATGGTCTGTTTCTGAAAAATGAGACTTCACCTGGTGAAAACAGGCAGGGACGGCGAATGTGACTTCACAGTCAGTGTGCTGTGCTTATCAGCTTATTTTGAGAAAGACAGAACACAGTTGATTGTGTCTTGAGTGCAAAGAATTTGATTCTAGTCAGTCGATCATGTTCCGAAGATAATACTTTTATGTATCAGAAATGTACATATTAACTCCTTTACTACACACTGTTTTAATTGTTTTTGGTGAGAATATTCATATGATACACATATATGAAGAAATTGAATGTAAGACTAAAAGGAACACTAAATGTGTAAACAAATGCTCAGCCAAAAGGCGTAGATATCACAGCTGTTATTTAAACAAGCACAACACAATTATGTCACTTGGTGGAGCAGTGAAGAAGAAGAATTCTAGAATGTACAAGTTGTCATTTGGATAAAAGACAGATCAGACAACTTGTAAAATGTGTTAATTGTTTAGGAGTTATGAATGTTGGTGACTTTTTCAGTTGCTTTTAATCACTAATGGAGTGTAGGACTAACTCTCTTTGTAGTCCTTGTCATATAGCGTAGTCTTGCCTGTCGGCATCCTTTTTTTTTCATGTATATTGTTCTTTTTTTTATATATTGTCGAAGATTTCTTCTTCTTCTGCGTCCACCCTTCAAATGGTAATTGACATGGCCAGCATGTTGTGGTTAACAGCTGGGCTTCAGTATCAGTACCTTTTGGATCAGCAAAACTCTAATTAGTTGCCTTTTTTGACATGCTTGATATTAGGACAATGGGTTTATCCAAAAGAATGTTCTACCATGCCACTCTGTCCAATATCTGACCTCTTTGTCTTCCTTTGCCTCTCTTAAGTTTTTTAACTTTCTTGTTGTCATGGTGTACTTACACACACACCCTTCACCACCCCATGATGGGAACTGGCTTTGTCGAGTACACTAATCAGTTCTGTTTGGGGGTTAATTGTTTTGAAGATAGCTTCATTATGCTTTGTCTATCCGTGATCCTTTAAGCATGTACTGTTTCAGTGTGTGTCCTATCCTCCTTCTTCTAAATGATCACTGGCTGTCAACTGTGGCAGAAAGGCTAAGTTGTTCATCCATTTCTGGATTTTTACCTTGTTCCAGGATTTGAGCATTGCCTGCACATCTGTTTTAAATATCTTTTTAATTTATGTGCAGACTGTTGGTTTCTCACATCTCTTCTTCTTTACTGGTTGAAACTCTAGCAGAAAGTTCTGGTTGTTCGTCCATGTCTGGGCATTGACCTTATTCCAGGATTTGAGTATTGCATACACATCTATTTTATAGATCTGTAAATGATCTGAGGATATGCAGACTATTGGTTCCTCACCTGTCAGCCTTTTGCTTTCCAACTTGCCAGGAAACATTGGTCCTATCTAC